ACTTACTGGGTCAAAGTCTATGATAATTTTAATAGCTTTGAAGTTTCTTACCCAACTGCTTTCTAGAAATTAAGTACCAATTCCATTAGCAACTCCAGTGTGTAATAGTGTCTATTCATTTGCCTTTTCTAAACAAACTTTAACATGCATGCACACATAGGAGAACACTTGAAAAATTTATCAGCTTTGGCAACGCAGAGTATTTCTTTGTCCCCCAAGTCTGCTTTTTAAGTTTTTAAATTGTTACTGTGGCAACAAGAAATATGCTCTTTCTCTAAATATATATGTATACATGCATTATACAAATGGATTTGTAAAGCATAGTAACTAAGAATTACAGTCTCGTTAATGAAACTGACAACTGGCTGGAATTACTAAAAGATAGGCAGATACTCAAAACCTGTTGCTTTCCATTTTAGACAAATGAAAAAATGACCAGGTCTCATTTTAAAATATTGTTACATACAAAAAGAAAACCGGAGAACTTTCTGTTATACACTGATTAGGACCAGAACGAGTATAATAAAAATATTTTACTGTAATTTGGTGAGTACAGGTTAATTACATAAAAGTTAGATTTAAACGATTATCTGTCATTTCTCAATTTCTAAACTTTGTACCAAGCTTTCAAATGATAGGAATACCAGTGAGGTCAGAATGAAAACAATTTTAAATCAAACCTTTAGTCTACTGAATTTGATCAACTGAGAAATCTTAAAGCAAGTGTTGGCAAACTTAGGCTTATAGGCCAAATTTGGCATGTAGCCTATTGTTGGATAGCCTATGAGCAGAGAATGGTTTTTACATTTTTAAATGGATAGAAAAAATCAAAAGAGTAATAATTGTGATGTTTGAAAATTATATGAAATTTAAATGTTATTGCCCATAAATACAGTTTCATTGGCACATAGCCACACTCATTCATTTATATATCACCTATGGTTGATTTTACACAGAGTTGAGTAGCTGCAACAAACTGTAAATCCTGAAAGCTTAAAATATTTACTATCTGGCCCTTTATAGGAAAAGTTTGCCACCTCTGCTTTAAAGTAATGTAGGATTTATATTTTTGTCTCTATGTGTCACTCTGTTTAATGAATATTTCCAAGATGCTCTGCTGCTCATTGAAATTAATTTTACCTTGTTACATTTTGCTTTGTTATTTAAGATGGGGTCTCATTATATTGCCTAGGCTGGTCTTGAACTCCTGGGCTCAAGTAATACTCCTTCCTGCCTCAGCCTCCCAAGTAGCTAGGACTACAGATATGTGCCACCATACCCCAATAATTTTTAAATTTTTTGTAGAGATTGGGTCTTGTTATGTTGCCCAGCCTGGTCTTGAGAAGTTCTGGCCTCAAGTAATCCTCCTGCCTCAGTCTCCCAAAGTGTTAGGATTACAGGCATGAACCACTATTCCTGACCTGCAGTTTTAAATATTTACTGTTTCATGAGCTTATGAAACTTCTGTTATATTCATTTAGGATAAATGTTATATTATTTTCCATAGGTCTGTCTAGAGCCTATTTCCACTTGCTTGATGGTTTGATTACCACAATTAAGTCATTGGTAACTAGAATTCTGCAATTCTGAAAAAAATGCATAATCCATAAATTGTACATGTTTGAGGTTAAAAGCAAGTGTAAATCCTTACATAAAAGATAAAGGCAATACTATTCCAAGCAGTTTAACCAACAGTGCTCTCTATTAACCAAAAAAGGAAGTTAAACAGCCTCTACATAAATCCTACTAGTTGGTTTTATGTTGATCCTACTAGTTGATATCACTATAGCTTGTTTGTCTAAATTAAACAAAGCTTCCCTTGACTATGAACTGCACATACTGCCTATATTGTGGGGAAACATTTATACACTCACACCTCTAGTCCCTAGATTCAATGTAGCGTAATGTGACATACTTTTCTGAAGAGCAGTCCCTTGCTGGTTATTGTTCTCATCCAACCTGATCTAAAGTCTACTGAATTGGAATATTTAAGAGCCCTTTGTGATGGCATCTATGATTCTGTGCAGCTGAATATATTCAATTATTCCCTAGGAAATAGTTTTCTTCTTCCTTTGTTTGTTTAGGCAAGAAATTGTTGTGAGATATCCAGAATGTTAAGTGATTCTGCCCCAGAGTATGTGTTAGAAACTATAAGGAGCATTTTATGACTTTCAATTCTGAAAGGTTTGTCAGCTTTGGATTTCTAGAATTGGTTGTGTCCATGTTTCTTTTCATCCTACTGGGACTTAACTGTTGTTAGCAACCTCTTGTGTGGTTTTAAGATATCTTGACCTCTTTGAAACCTTTCCAGGTGTCACTGCCACTTTGTTGATCTCTGCAATGTTAGTTACATTGTTTAATGGAGTTAAGTTCCATGAACTTTAGAAATCCTCCCTGAGACTATGAATTGACTAACACCCAAGGCAGCATAAACATGCAGACACAAATGTTCCTAAAACGAAGCTTGCTGGGCGATGCAGGATATGACTTGGAGTCTGGAAAAAGGAATATTTTGCTCAATTGTGCATCTATGACAAGCTCCAGGTGCAGTTTGAAGCTGAGTGGTTAGTTTTTCTGATCCTCACGTAGACTCTCATTAGAACACAGCAGAATCTGCAACTGTGAATGTAAGGAATTCCATGAAGACCCCCTGGGCCCATTAAGGCTTCTGGCTTCAGAGGGTCCTAAAACACTTACATTAGCATATAGAAATATAGTAAGAAGACATTGTTTTTTATAAATATCATCTAGGTTTTAGTCTTAAGATTATAATGACTGCAGCTTCTTTTAAAAGTTGCATCCACAAGATGCAGTTACAAATTTAAAAGAAAGAACAAAGTTTATTAGATACCTGTTTTATGTTTACAGTTTGTCATTAAAAAGCTCCTATTATTTTTGGTAACATAGTTAAGACTTTGCAAAGTTCATACTTGGACAAAGAATCCCCTATTAGTTTAGCTTTAGTTGTGGCCTACTATTCCAGTGATTTCTCAGCCCTTCTTTTCAAACTTCACAGCCTGGCTATTCTAACAGACAAATCATGCTGCCAAAACCTAGGGGAGTGAGACAAAGTCGAAGTGACACTGTATTGATAATTAAAAGATAAGGAGTTCAGTCCTAACTCTACCACTACCTAACTTAACATTTCTATTTGTCTCCTTATCTACAAAATATGCATAACAAATAATACTACACAGGAATGCTGTGAAAATAAAACTTGTAATAAATACAAAAAGGCCTTTGAAATAGTGCAAACAAGTATGAAAATGAAAGGTGTGCTGGTGACAGTGGTTGTTTATTCATTCTTTCCTGCTGACCTCCTCTCCACCCAGAAACTATATGTCTGTAACATGAACACTACTGCTCCCCACACTCCTGAGCCAGTTGTTCTCTTATGATCACCTTCCCATCCTGGCTCCAGTGTCCAGGGAATCCTGAGGATCTCTGAGGGATATGCAAGCTATGCATCTTCAAATGACTGTGGAGAGTTAAGCTTCCTCTGCTTTGCTTTCTACCGGCTAAGGCCTGGAGCTTGCTGTGTGTGCATCAGTAAAGTGGCTACAAGTACAGTGTACAATTACATGTTACTGTAGCTTCTCAGAGGCTTCTTTCCTGTCCCTCACAATTCACTGCTGGGAATGCAATGGCAATGGAAACTTAGAAGATCTAACAGGTTATACAGCAAGTGTTAATATGAGTTCTCTCTAGGTGGTTGGAATTATAGGTGTTTTTGTTTGGTTTTGTCTGTATACCTGTATGCTCTCACTTTTGTAATCCATAGGCAAAAAATAAAAAATAGATGAATTTAAAACAAATAAAACATCCTTTATGTTACAAGTGAGAAACAACTTAAATACTTCTAACATGGACATTTCTCAAGAGGAAAATTAGAAAACAAGGGTATGTGATTTACCCTAAAAATATGAGTGTAATACCATATCATGTGAGAAAATTTTTATGAAAAAAAGTCATGTATTTCAGTGTCCTGTCAGATTAATGTGAACAAAATAAGAAATACTGCATTATATCTACTTTTCCAAATTGTATACCAATAGTGTGGCAATCTGATGAAAAAACAAGTAAGAAATCAGCATCTAGCTACCCTCATTTGGAGCCCAAGGGTATAATGTAGTCTGATGCTGGTCTAGAGACCAGATGGGAAAACTTGTTCTCTAATCTAATGACTTTCTTTTAATCACAAGCAGGCAGTAGTTTCCTTATTATCCAGTTTAACAAATACATTATTCCTGAGAGTACTTCCTAGGATTTATTTTGCTCACTTAAGACTACATCTTTGTATTTAATTCATCTTCATATTATCGCTACAGGACACATATCTCTAATTATTCCCATCTAAAGGGACAGGAAAATGAAATTACACTACTTGGAAAACAGACATCCTCTGGTGTGTCTTTTCTCAGTGCTGCCTTGGACGTAGTTTTTCATTGTCATTGTATCACAGATTGTGAGCTGTCCTCAGAGGGCAAGGCCTGTGACTTACCTCTTTTTGAATTCCCAGTGCCTAGCATGTGCCTGCTACCAAGGACACACACAGAAAAAAATCTGAAGAAACAAATGAATAATAATACCCAACACATAATGCTTACACATTAATGCCTTATATGTATGAATTCACTTAGTCCTTATAACCCTTTGAAATAGGTACTACTTTTATCCCCATTATACATATGAGAAAACTGAAGAACAGAAAGTAGAGCAAAGTTATACACAGCTAGGATCCAAACCTGGCTCTCGAGTCAGCCTCTTCATCACCACACCCTGTTGCCCCCCAAGCACCCGGGCTAAACAGGAAAACACTCCATTCCAAGAGAAGCGTGTGCTCCCATCTCTAAACACTCTTGAGTTTCTGTCAGATGTAGCTACGCTGTGTGGTTCCTTCGGAGACTTAAAAAGGAAAATAACTGGACAAGCACACAAGTGCAGAAGAAATGAATCCCCAACCTTAACAATGGCTGTTTGTAAGGGTGTTTCTCAAATACCTGTGGGGATTTGTGAGAGCGCCAGCTGTACTGGTGACTGTGGAGACTCGCCAGCAGAATATTTTCATCAGTATCCACCTGGCCAAACCGCAGTGTCTCCTGTGTGTCATTACAGATCACAAAATGGCTGAAGACCAACTCCTCTACCTCAGGGCATTTGTTCTGAAAGAAAAAGGATACGAAAGCCAACATGGATCAGATTAATTGCAAGATGTTTGGCAGCTGTCTGCCCAGTGGCGATTGTTACAACACAGAAACCCTAAAAGATCTGTTGTCATTAGCTCTGGTATACAAAGTATTCTATACTGCCAGGATAAGCACACACACACACACACAAAATACCTTTAAGAGATTTTAAATGTTTCAAGAATGTGTTTTGATTTATACTCCCTCAAAATAAATCATACACACTGAAGAGTAAAAGAACAATGAGATCCTTCAAACTTTTAACATTTCTTAAAGTGAATTAACATGCTACAAAGAGTGCTGTACTGGGTACTGCATGTTTTTGAACAGTACTGGAGGCTAGAATTACCATGTTCCCGGCTTCTAAACTCAACAATCAAGACCAATTACCAAAGCCACAGTTTGTACCCTACAGAAAGTAAGAATCATTTAGGTAAAACATCCCCAGATCCCTTAAGGGGGAGGGTGGATATGTGTGTGTGTGTAAATCTGCTCAGGGAGAGATGTAAATAAAACCATAACTTTCCCTCTATTGTTAAGAGGCTGAACATACAAAACAGATCAACTCCAGAGTCACTGTAAGCCAAGTTGCAGTTTTCATGAGAAATAATGTGAGTTGAAACACTTTTCGGTATCTGTTTCAGCTAATAGTCATCAATCAGCTAAAATCCTTCATTAGTCAGCTAAAGCGCAGCAAATTAATAATATGTTCCTGTGCTGATAACTCCTTTCTCATTTAATGGTGCCTCCACTGGTTGTTGCTACATTAAAACACTGGCAAAGTAATAAAGTATTTCTGTGCTTACTCTTTTATCACTCTAGTTAGACTATGGCTTAAAAGCAATAAACACACTTTTGGTAAACTTAAAAGAATGCTAAATAAATGATTAACTTGAGAATATAAGAAAAAAATCATAAGTAGCTAATTCATTTGCAGATAATGGGAGATAACATGTTTCTCCAGTTGGCCTCTATTTCCCGTATGGATCTAAATAATGTCAAAATGCCACACTCCATCATTTGCCACTTTACTGAGAAGTAGGGGAGTAAACAGAGATACAACTCAGAAGCATTGTGATTCAAGTGCAGAGGAGGCATGAGGCCAAGGAGACTACAGATGAATGTACCTGGAATCCAGCCTGGGCCATGACCAGACTTGTACCCATCAGGATACAGACTCATCTTGGGAAACAGAGTCTACTCCTAGTCATCCAAAATGCCCTTGAAGTAGGTGGGCAGGCTCCATGCTGCAGGTGGTGAAGTGGCCCTGACATACCTCATTTTTCCAGAGGTCCTTGAGGACTTCTAAGCCCTCTCGCATCATCCATCTGTTCCCATTGAACTGAACCTTGCTTCACAGTCACACTAACCACCAAAAGAGTTTCTGGCTAAGTGAGACCAAAGTACTCATAACAACAAGCATCGGTCATCTACCATGATACTCTCTACTCTGGCTTTTAATGGTAGCAATGATTTCAAAACTTGCCTGCTGTTGAGTTTTAGATGAATTGTTTCACCCAGCCCCTGCCCATGCCTCCAACTGTATCTTGAGCTACTCTCCATTTGCTGACGGCATTTGTTCAGGACACTCCAGCTCCACCAGCCTTTTCCAGCTGCTCCAGCACTATGCTGACCTCCTTCCAACTCATCCAACACATCAAACTACTTCCTGCCTCAGAGCCTCCCTCTGCTTAGACATCTTTTTCTCCATTTCTTGTTTGACCAACTTGTTTCTATTCAACTTTCAGATTCCTGTTTTAAGGCTGGTTTTAAGAGCAGCCTTCTGAGATCCTCCCGGGTCAAGTTAGGTTCTCCTATTTTATGCTTATATAAGATTCTATATTTCACCTTCAGAGCACTTGTTAATTTGTACCATTATGGGTTCAATATTGTCTCCATAATTAGACTTTATGCTGCAGAAGGGCAGCAACCACGTCTGTATTCTTTACGGTTTTATCTCTGGTATCCAGCATAATGCCTGGCCGATAAATACTTAGGAAATAAACAAAAACTTTAGTAGATGTAATTTGTAAAACTATAATTATATATTCACTGTACAAAGTTAGAAAATAAAGGGGAGAAGAAGGGGAGGGGAGAATAAGGGGAGGGAAAATTAGGAAATACAGAAAGTATGGATTTTTAAAAATCTTTAATTTTAAACTCAGCAATAACTACTATTAACATTTTGGTGAATTTTCTTCAAGTAATTTTTCCCTTCTGAATGTCCTGCCTGTTACTATTCTAGTCTGTCCTATCCAATCCTTTTTTATATATTTATCTACAAACCTTTAATCAAACTGGAATCATAGTATGTAATTAGTTTTGATGAGATTTTTCCATTGAGCATTATATAATCAACATGAACTGCTCTACTTGTAAACATTTTTCTTTCCTTTCAGTGCGAGTACAGACATGAAGAAAGGAATATGATTCCAATCTCCCACTTAGTTACACATCCTGAGATTAAAATTCAGTTTTCATAATGAATTGGGATCAATCTGCTGGTAACACAGAGGTTAAGTTACCAGATGGGGCTTGAGTAGAAAAAAAATCATATTACTTTCTTCATCTCTAAAAACTGACCTTTAATAAATGATGAGGGTTTTAGGAAAAAATGTAAATTAAAGAACACAAGGGGGTTGTTTACATTTTTCTAAAGAATATTCAAAGTCCTCAGGGAACTATTTCTCTACTGCTCCTTCATCTGTAGAGTTCATTATAACTGTAATAAGTTTAAGCATTTCCTGGAATGTTTTAAATTCTGTTATAATATTAAAAAGTTCATATGTATTTGACGTCACATCATAGATGTTGAGCCTCAGAATGCTCACTTGGAATTGTAATTAAAAGATGGCTTATCCACATTTAAGTTTCATCGAGTGTCATACAAGCATTTGCAATTAAACAGAGATACCATTTTGGTGTTAGAGAAGACACATAAGTGTAACCTTAAGAAAAAAACCCTTTTAATACTATTTTGTCCAAATCTGGGAAAGTGACATAGAAATATAAAACAGATTGCAAGTGGCATTTTGGATCCTTAATCTGTTTTCACAAAACAGTCATCATTTATAAAAGAGAAAAGAAAATCTATAGCCAGAGAAATCAGACACTGATGAAGGCTTCTGTTAATCTTGAACTCATGACCTAAAGGTGGAAGGCCAAATTGTTTCATGCTTCAACTGTCTGGTCCATCCACACTGGGGAAAAATGACTTGTCTCCAATATGAATCCAATAAAAAGTATGTGGATAACTAAAATCACTTTGCTTGCTTATTAAATTCATATTTTTCACTGGCAGCAATTATACTGTATGTGAGCAGTATACACACAATAAAATTCAAGTTTGGGAAACTAAACTTCCCTTTCGAAAGGGGATAAACCACATTCAGAACATCTTAGAAACAATGAACTTAATAACCCTTTGTAAGCCCATTTCAATGTCAAATGTCCTATAATTTCAAAGCAGTGCACGTTCATATTTACTTTAGAATACACAGGGTTAGGTGCCTACCACATTAAAACTTGGTGGCAAGTACCCTTGACATGAGAGGAAACAAGAAAATTACAGCAACAATTACAGAAGTATATCCTCTTGTGGCTCATGTTAACGTTGCCAAATCCCTGTATAAATCAGAACCAACTATTCATAGAATGTACCTGTCAGCAATATGCTACGTGACATATGGCTCTACTTAATCAAATATACAATTCCATTTAAAAAAACTCAGAATATTCCTTCAAGGCACTATGTTAGCCAGTCAGTCATTCACACTCTGATGTGGTTTAAAACATTTAAATATTTATGCACCATATTTTATTTATATGTATAGCTGTGTCTAAGAGAGTATTTTTACCCTGGGAGGAAACTGGTATTTCTGAAGGCCATTTTGCAGTAGTTGCTACACATGAGTCCCCTTATAATGGCTCTGATACCAAGACAAAAATATCCTGGGTTTAAATGTTCTATCAATGATTCTTTTATATTTTCTAGGTTTGTTTTTTATTAAATGCATTGTTCAAAATATGACCAAAAAACAGAAATTGGATCCATAGAGGTTTTTTTCACATGGCTATTTGAACCAGCTGCAAAGATTTAGATCACACTAGCTCTTATTTTACGCATGTCCTTTGCAACAAGAAAACCATGGAATGCCCTTAAAAAAGATTTTTAAAATATAAAACAGATGTGTTATCTTCTTTCCCTTTGCTATTGTAGTGCCATGTTAGGTAATTAATTCCTTGGTCTTGTATAGGTCTTCATGCATATAAAGAAAAACATTTATTCCCATACAAATTCTTAAGTTAAAGAACAAAAGCTTCTCTTCCCTTTAGCTGCTCCATCCCAGTGGGGGATGAAGGACCGTTTCTCTTGGGGAGCCAGCTTCACACAAATGTGTGTAACATATACAAAATGTGGGGAAAAGTCTCAGCTTAAATAGCAACACAAACTTGATGGAAATACGATCTAACACTAAAATCAGTAAGGGAAACAGAAGTGATTTGTTCTTAAATCGCTGAACTTATTATCATCCAAATATTCTGTGAAGTTACTTTGGTGCTAGCAGACATGGACAGGTTTCCCATTTTAAATATGCCACTTATCATAGACTTATACTTCATCCCTTTTTTTGGTTTGGTTTATTTCTGATAAGAAATAAAAGTTAAACAATTATTAAAATAATCAAGGCTCTCTAACTGATTAAAAAAATCCATTATCCAGTACTTTTTAGTGAATCAAAAAGTCAGAATGAGAGTAGAGGAAAAAACTAAGACTGTATTGTACTCACATATTTCATCTCACTGCTTTTTGTTTGTTTGTTGGTTTGAAAAGATGGAATGCTTATCATCAGAAAGGGTCACACAGGTTCTTTATTTCTGCAATGGACACTTAGACAATTTGATACATAGCTAAGTTGAAGCTTTGGCAAACTAAAGCCAAAATACTTGGAAAAAATTTCTGGGAATATGTTACTTTCCACACAGATGTGGTACATTAGTCACAAAAATGTGGGCATGATCTCCAATGCATGTGTAGAGAACCCATATTCTCCAGTGTTTCAAAAATAACATGTATCACTTTGCCAAAACAGAGAAGGCCTCAAGTATAATGGTGCCCATCAAATTCTTCATTCTCTCACATTTTTGTTTGTGTTTAACTTATTATCAGAAGTGATAGCATACAGAACCTAATAAAATATCATATGTGACTAAACTGTAAACTGTTATGGAATGTGCATACCTGTTGCCAAGCTTGTATTGCAGTGTTTAGAGAATGGACTACATGCTGTCCAACGTTTACAAATACAGAATCAACTATCACGGTGCAGTCAAGCAGCTTTTCTACTACATCGCTGGAAACTGCCATCTGCCCGAAGATGCTGAAGGGTTTTACCACACTTTGCATAGTGACATTTCTGCACTCTAGAAGTTTACAGTCTGCTTGAGCTGAGAACTGGATCTCCTGACAGACAGAACCATTATTCCACTGTCGAAGATACATGTGTGGTTCTCTGAAGGAAACAATCATGTATTCTAGTTCAGATGGCATATTTCTATCAGAAACAAATGGCTGTAGGTACTGTGGTGCAGCTGTTGAGAAAACAAACAAGAAAGACAGCAATTAAGATGAGCCAATACTTTGTGAAAATAAAGGGTGAAATGACATTCAAACTATTTACTTTTTGATTATTGAAATTAGTTTTTGGTGTTTAATAAATTCAAATTATTTCTTGAAGATATTATAATCTTTGGATTCCCATTTGATATCTGAAAACAAAACTGTTTTGTTCAAGTAGGCCTCTTAAATATATATTGTCCAGAAGTTACTTTCACAAAAAATTGATCACAGAAGCAAATAAATAAACTGAAAAGCAGGTATCCATCTAAAGAGAATTTTATAGAACTGCTCTGTATCTACCAATTGAATCTCAAAAACCAAAACAAAAATATGACTCAAAGAGAGTTAGAGAAAGCAGGTTAAACTCCATTTTTGCTGAAACGGCAAGATGCTTAACAGCAGCTATTTTTTTTTTTTTTTTTTTTTGAGACAGAGTCTTGCTCTGTCGCCCAGGCTGGAGTGCAGTGGTGTGATCTTGGCTCATTGCAACCTCTGCCTCCCGGGTTCAAGTGATTCTCCTGCTTCAGCCTCCCTAGTAGCTGAGATTACAGGCACTTGCCACCATGCCTGGCTCATTTTTTTGTATTTTTAGTAGAGACATGATCTCGATCTCCTGACGTTGTGATCCACCTGCCTCGGCCTCCCAAAGTGTTGGGATTACAGGCGTGAGTCACCATGCCCGGCCAGCTATGTTTGGTTTTAATCTGATTTTCTCCTCCTCCCTTTATTACATGTAGGTTAAAAACCTAATACATGAATCAACATGTATCACCTAGAAAAGGTTTGGTACAGAACATAAAGATTGAGAAATAATTGTTCAAATAACATTAGTAAACTTATAAAAGGCCACCTTTGGTGTGTGGGAAAATTTAAACTTCCTTCTAAACTTGTAAAAATGATACCCCTTTAAATTAATTTGAGACTGTGCCTATCTTTTGTGGAAGGTGCTCATGCTTTTGAAATCAGGCAATACCAAGTATTTTTGGAATCTATTTGCTACTAATGTAATGACTCAGGATGCTGAACAATAACAGACATATTTCTTTCAAAGAGATCTGATATGGTTTGGTTGTGTCCCCACACAAATCTCATCTTGAATTCCCACATGTTGTGAGAAGGACCCGGTGGGAGACAACTGAATCAGTGGGGGAGGTCTTTCCTGCACTGTTCTCCTGATATTCAGTGAATAAGTCTCACAAGATCTGATGGTTATATAAAAACTGGAGCTTCCCTGCACAAGCTCTCTTTGCCTGCTGCCATCCATGTAAGACGTGACCTGCTCTCCTTGCCTTCCACCCTGATTGTGAGGTCTCCTCAGCCATGTGGAACTGTAAATCCATTAAATCTCTTTTTCTTCGAAGTCTCATGTATGTCTTTATCAGCAGCGTGAAAAATGAACTAATACAAGATCATAATTGGAATTATAGTAAAACTAACTTCCTTGAAAAATTCTCATTAGGTAGCATTCAAAAACATGTCAGCTCAATACCATTGACAATTTATATAATAGGTTCATAAGCTGGTTCAGAAGTAAAGGTTATGCCTGTGTTGCCAAGTCAACCCCAGGATAACTTTGCCACTGCTCGCTTTATACTTCCTGAAGATACGTTATCTAAGACTGATGACTTCTGTTCTGAAAACACTCAAGAGAAAATGGTAAGTATTAAATGGATGTTATTCTGATGCTAAAGAAAAGAGTACCTGTGCCTAGTTGGTCAAGGTGATGACAAAGATGAAATTCCAGGTGTGCAAACTGGAAGGAAACGCAAAGGGATGGGACAAACCATGGGGTAAAGCAGGAGTCAACTCTGGTACAGGCAGCCAGGGCTGTTGGAGTCACAAGTGGATCATAAGTGCTTTGAGAACCAGACTCACTTGCAGAGCTATGGGAAAGAAGTGATAAAAGAAGTTCAATAACCAAAATTGCCCAATATTACATGAGTGAAATGTCTTTTTATAAGGATTTCTAAAACTAGTACTGAAAATTCTATAGTCAATATTTTATCAAATCTTCAGTATTTTCTCGAGTAAATTAGTTTTTTTTTTAAAAACTAAGTTCGTTTTTGGCCGGGTGCAGTGGCTCATGTTTGTTATCCTTGTACTTTGGGAGGCCGAGGTAGCAGGATCACTTCAGCTCAGGAGTTCGAGACCAGCCTGGGTAACACAGTGAGACCTCATCTCTACAGAAAATTAGCTGGATGTGGTGGTATGCACCTGCAGTCCCAGCTACTCGGTGGTTGAGGTGGGAGAATTGCTTAAGCACAGCAGGTCAAGGCTGTCATGCACTACATTCCAGCCTGGAATCATGTTGATTATTCTCTATGAATTCTTCACAGAAAACTTTCAAAGGATTCCTCAAATGCCAACTCATGCTGATCTATCTCCAAATCAATTTGCTTCCATCCACATCTCACAAAATTTTGGGCCATTCGTTCTGTTATTAAGATCAGTGCAGTTCAGAGTGTGACTCTGCCACTCAAAAACACAATACTTCAGTGTCACCATAAATATTTCACTTTTTTTTTTTTTTTTTTGTGAGACAGAATCTCGCTTTGTCGCCCAGGCTGGAGTGCAGTGGCGCGATCTAGGCTCACTGCAAGCTCTGCCTCCTGGATTCACGCCATTCTCCTGCCTCAGCATCCCGAGTAGCTGGGACTAAAGGCACCTGCCACCACTCCCAGCTAATTTTTTGTAGTTTTAGTAGAGACGGGGTTTCACCGTATTAGTCAGGATGGTCTTGGTCTCCTGACCTCGTGATCCGCTCGCCTTGGCCTCCCAAAGTGCTGGGATTACAGGCGTGAGCACCGCACCTGGCCAAATATTTCACTTTTGTTTTACTTCTCCAGATTGTCCATACCCATATTCCCATAGGGATCAGTCAATATTCTTCATTAAGCACTCACTCCCTACTGTAATGGGTGCCATAAAAGTTATGACCTTGTCTAGAAGAATTAGGGTTCCATGGACAATTACAATGCATGGGTCCTCTCTTGCCCATCCTCTTAACATTATTTTATACAAGTTAAATCTTTATTTTTTTTTTGAGACGGAGTCTCGTTTTGTTGTCCAGGCCAGGCTGGAGTGCAGTGGCACAATCTTGGCTCACTGCAACCTCTGCCTCCCAGGTTCAAGTGATTCTCCTGCCTCAGCCTCCTGAGTAGCTGGGATTGCAGGCGCCTGCCACCACGCCCAGCTAAGTTTTGTATTTTTAGTAGAGATGGGGTTTCACCATGTTGATCAGGCTGGTCTTGAACTCCTGACCCCAAGTGATCCACCCACCTTGGCCTCCCAAAGTGCTGGGGTTACAGGCATGAGCCACAACTCCCAGCTTATATGAGTTAAATCTGATCAAAACAAGTTAAATCTGATTAAAATGAATAGTGAAGGTATCCATAGAAGGGAAGATGTCTGCACATGGTGGCTGCTGCTGTGCACAGGAAGCATGCTGCCTAGATTGCATTAATACTAACAGGAGCACAAAACCTGGGAATTTGGGATTGTTGGAGGAGAACAACAATCCTGTTAATTGTGGATCACCGAATTGATGTTGTCCTGTTAACTGTAGATCACTGAATCGATGTTGCCTTTTCCCCACTACTCACTATCTTTCACTCCCTTCTTTTCATGCTGAAATATGCTCTGTAGCTATCACAGCCTGGCTCCCAAATCCATGAGGAGCCTAAAGACAAGCAATGTGATTTACAGTGTCCTAGGAAGAACTGTGACAGGAAACACTAAAGAAAGAAATCCTTGATTTTCAAAGAACTCACAGTCTAACTGGTGATACTCAGTACGTAGACATTTACAAAAATTACCAAACAGAACCAACCCCCAGGAATAGGCAAGTGGGAAGTGCTGCCAGAGTGGAAACACAAGAGGAACTTAATGGCATGGGTGAATCATGTGGGATTTTCAGAGGTGTGAATCTTCCATTGGGTTTTGAAAGAGGTTGTGAAACAGGCTGGTGAAAATGAAAGCTAGGAGCATTGCGACATGTTTACTGAGTTGTTTAACCTCGAAGAGTTTAGTTATGTGGTGTAAGCATTTACTGCAATGCTAGTAAATCTCCATTGCAGACAAAGAAAACAGACTTTGGAGCACTAGGTTATTGACTATGCACAAAAACGCAGCTAAGTATATTCTTAAAATATCTATAATGGGCACAGTAATCCAAGTAACTTTCTAGGAATTTGTAGAGTTAACAAAAGATTTCATTGGCAAGATAAAATTAAAACTTGTATTTATTCAGAAAGAGGAAAATATATTAGTTGTATATGTGTTTTACGCATTTGAACTCTTTCCCTTATACTACTCATGTAAGTTTTTAGAAATAGGGCACAATGTTAGTCAAAATATTACTAAAAATCCAGGCAAGAGTTCTATGGGACCAGTTTTTAAAAATGGGTACACAGTTTGAGGGGTTTATCTGAAGCATTTTCCTGGCCAATTACAGTTTTTGACACTCTTGATTTATTTTTCTATCTCCTGAGAGTGGCAAATATTATAATATATTGCAAAAGTTTGCTAAAACATCATGAGTATCTAATACAATATTTACTTGTAACAAATTGGTTGATTCTTCACTTTTCCTAAATTAAATGCACAAAGCAATGGTAAGACATATTTTTAGGTATATACAGTAGCTCCTGAATCATAAAATCATACTCCAGTAAGCATTAGTGCTAGTAGCACTACTCTAGTCAGCAATACTCCTTCAATCTTGAAATCCTGACTAAAATGGTTACTAGGTTAATCTGTATGCAAAAATTAAAACTTTTACTTAAAAACTGGAGTCAACAAAATCACACACTTCTTAAACACAAAATGTGGTATATGTAATTTGAATATACTTTAACTCTATTTTACATTAGCACATTTATAGTTTTTGATATTCTTAACTTAAATCACCATTATATACTATAAAAGTAGCATTTATGTGTTTACCTTTCACCTAAGGATTAAAATGATCTAAGTACAATACGACTAAATAGTCATAAATATGAGTGATGACTCTGCTAGAGACTTGCAGTAGCTACATTTGTATAATTTCCCTAATTAGGTACAACAGTGAACTTTAATCTGATTCAGATCTCAAAAGGTCAAACATCAGATGTATAATAAGCAGAAAAACAAAAGTAAAAAAATCTCACAACTTATAGTATTTGTATTTCAATACTTCCGCTTTTCCCAAAAGACTTTCAAAACAGGTCAAATTCATGGCCAATGGCAGTGTTCACAGAATTATCTGGTGCTCTTCACTTTTTTTTTTTTTTTTTTTTTTGAGACAGAGTCTCGCTTAGTCGCCCAGGCTGGAGTGCAGTGGCGCGATCTCGGCTCACTGCAAGCTCCGCCTCCCGGGTTCACGCCATTCTCCTGCCTCAGCCTCCCGAGTAGCTGGGACTACAGGCGCCCGCCGCCTCGCCCGGCTAATTTTTTGCATTTTTAGTAGAGACGGGGTTTCACAGTGTTAGCCAGGATGGTCTCGATCTCCTGACCTTGTGATCCGCCCGCCTTGGCCTCCCAAAGTGCTGGGATTACAGGCGTGAGCCACCGCGCCTGGCCGCTCTTCACTTTTAACATGCTGGAAAATAGCTCCTGGAAGCAAGATCTCTCAAATAGTAATATACACAATTCACGATTCAGTAATTTATTCAGAGGGTTATTTAAGTGTTATTTTAGAACAGTGGAAGCATTCTAGACAGTGAGAAGGATGGCATGTGTTTTACTTATACCTTCATTTTAGCCAAAGAATTACTTACCAACTGTCCTGAGTGACCTATAGAAGGGATCAATTATTTAAACAAGGAGTATCCAGTACATTTAGATGTAGACTGATCCTATCTTAATGGCACTGTGGGGACCCAGGCACAATCCCTAAAGATCCAGCCCTGAATGTCACTTCTGTAAGGATCCCTTTATGGTAATAAAGATTTTATAATGTAGTATAATATAGCATAGAGATTAAGACATGACTTGCTCCTCCTTGCTTTCCACCATGATTGTGAGATTAAGCAGAGAATGACCAAGGTAGGAGAACCCAGAATGAAATGTATACACTGCTATAATTTATATTGTAGTATTAGGCAACTTATTTCACTTGGCTAAATCTCAGTATTTTTCATTTATAAAATGAGTACAGAAATTAGACCTACCTTTTTCAAATATTACATGAGTTACTGCATATAAACTACTTAGCATGGTATCTACCATTCGATTAAAAAAAAATGATGAAAAAAAAATCCATTCTTCTTTTTCTTGTTGGCAAGACAAGGTACCATACTGGCTATATAGGTTAATGTTAATTGATTCTCTTTAGCTTCCTAAGAGGGATCTCACAACAGCATATTGGCATTCATCTCAATGGGGCACTGTCTCTCAACGTTGGTTCACATAAATTCTCCCCTACACACTGCAGGAACACTGCTCTGTCCCCCCCTGGAGAGTGCTGAATGGGTGAGAGAGGATGCAGGAGGACGTGTGTGCCTGTTGCACTGTGTTTCTTCCACTCCTTACAATGGTTGTTTTTCAAATGTCTTAACCCTAACTCAAAATAACAAGCACACTTTTATTGTAATCCAGTATACACATATAAAACAGGGGAAAAGGTTTTCTGAAAATACGACACACACTATTTTTTATTGTGATAATATATTAACATATATAGCATAAAATTTATCATTTTAACCATTTTAAAGTGTACAGTTCAGTGACATTAAGTACATTCACATTGTTGTGCAACCATCACCACTATGCATCCCTAGAACTTTTTGATTTTCCCAAGCTGAAACTCCATGTCCATTATACCCTCACTCCCCATCCTTCCCTCTCCACAGCCCCTGGCAGCCACCACTATACTCTTTATGAATTTGACTACTCTTAGGAT